GCGCCAGCCTATTGGCTGGAAATGAAGGTGTATTCACCGAGCACGTATAGAGGGCCAACTGCAGATCCTGTTGAAGTCCGTGGCACAATTCCCACTGCTTTTAATTGGATTTAGATCAAGTTCTTGGCGTCCTCCCATATTAAAGCTGATCTCTAAATGCTTTTTCTTAATGAACAGAATTTATTCAGAAGCTCTTCTCAAGGTTTAAGATTACCAGCAAACAACCTTCCAAGTAAACTGAATGGTTTATTTAAAAGAAGAAAATATTCTCTTTCATCTTCCATTCAGTATGTGAGTTGGTTTGCAACATTACTCATCCTGATTCTCTTGAGTGATTCTTGGGCCTGAATGGAGAAATAGTGTGGTTTCAGGGGGCCAAAATCATAGATAATACAATGAAACTGTTCCTGGACTTCAGAGTTTGAATGCTGATATAGTACAAAGAACAAAGTATATAGTACAAAGAAAGCTGGCTAAGTGTAGATAACACCTGATATGAAGGAAGACCTAAGTTAGATGTCTCCCTGATAGCTACATTTCTATGTGCAGGGAATTGTGGGTATGCAGTTGTCCCTGCACTCAGAATTAGTCTTCCACATGTTCTGCTGTTTGTGTAGACTCATTCTCAAACAACAACACCAACTCCCAACAACTGCTTTCCCAAAGTCCTGTACAGAACCAGGTGTCTCTCCCTTCAAATCCTTCTTTAAACCAATTTCCCCCATGAATACACATACCTGAGTCTTTATTCACAATAAATTCCACACATAGATAGATAGATTCTTTATTGTCATTACACAAGTGCAACATTGCACAAGTGCAACGAAATTGGATGCCATCCCTTAAAAACAACAAAAGCAAAACAACAACAACAACCAAACAAACCACCTTCCAACCACACCCACACCCACACCCATCAAACTCCCAGGTCTCACTATCGAGTTACAGCATTCAAAAAGGCCACAGCTCTTGGATAGAAACTGTTTTTCAGTCTATTTGTCCTTGACTTGATGTTTCTATACCTCCTGCCAGAAGGCAGTAGTTCAAACAGACTGTGTCCCGGGTGAGATGAATCCTGCAGGATGTTGTTTGCTTTCCTAAGGCAACGGGAACCGTACAGTTCTTCCAAAGGTGGGAGAGGGTGACCAATAATCCTTTGGGCTGTGGTTATGACCTTCTGGAGCACCTTCCTCTCCCTAGCTGTACAACTGGAGAACCAAGCACAAATACAGTATGTAAGTATGCTCTCTATGGAGCCTCGGTAGAAGGACACCAGCAGTCTCTCACTCAGATTGTTCTTTTTTAAAAGTCTGAGGAAATAAATTCTCTGCTGGGCCTTCTTCACCAGAGCAGTGGTATTTGCGCTCCAAGTCATGCTCTGATCGATAGTCACTCCCAAAAACCTGAATTCCGCCACCCTCTCCACCCGTTCCCCGTTGATATACAAGGGCTGAATGTCCGCCTTTTTTTCCCTGTAATCCACCACCAATTCCTTGGTCTTAGCCGTATTAAGAGCCAGATTGTTCTCTCCACACCAAACACAGAGCCGCTCCACCTCGTCCCGATAGGCGGACTCATCCCCTCCTGAAATGAGCCCCACCACCGTAGTATCATCAGCAAACTTGATGATTTTGTTGCTGGAGTAGATGGCTGTACAGTCATACGTATAGAGAGCATAGAGCAGGGGACTCAACACGCAACCCTGTGGTGAGCCGGTGTTAAGGCTAAGGGCTGTGGACACATGTGACCCTACTCTAACCCTCTGAGAACGTTCTGACAAAAAATCCAAAACCCAGAGACAGGTGGAGTTGGAGAGTCCAATCGTCTCTAGCTTGGACACCAGTCTATGGGGGAGGATAGTGTTAAAAGCAGAGCTAAAATCCACAAACAGCAGCCTCACATAATTCCCCGGCTGCTCCAGATGGGACAGAGCAGCATGGAGAGTGGTGGTGATAGCGTCTTCTGTGGATCTATTTGCCCTGTATGCAAACTGGTAGTTGTCAAAAGTTGATGGAAGACAGGAAATAATATGACGGCGCACCAGTTTCTCAAAACACTTCATGATGATTGGAGTCAGTGCAACTGGTCTGTAGTCATTCAAACTACTGATTGTGGATTTTTTAGGCAGAGGGACAATAGTTGACGACTTCAGGCAGGGTGGGACAATAGACTGGTGTAAGGACTTGTTGAAGATCTTAGTAAAGACCCTCGCCAGCTGATCCGCACAGCCCTTCAACACCTTTCCAGTGATGCCATCAGGTCCAGCCGCCTTCCTCGGATTCACCATCCTCAATACTTGTCTCACCTCGTGCTCCTCTGGGCTGGTGGCTGTAATACCGGCGTCTCAGGTGGCTCCTTCTCGAAGCGAGCAAAGAAGAGGTTAAGCTCCTCCGCCAGCAAAGGGTCACCGTCGACAGCGCCAAGGTTAGGTTTGTAGTTGGTAATATGCTGAATCCCCTGCCACATCTGTCTTATGTTGTTGCTCCTTAAATTATCCTCAATCCTCTGCCTATAATCCAGTTTTGCCCGTCGAATACCCCTCTTCAAGTTTGCTCTTGCCACACTGTAAAGCTGCACCTCGCCCGACCTGAAAGCCCTGTTCCTTTCCCGCAGCAGGCACTGGACCTCTCCATTCATCCAGGGTTTTTGATTAGGATAAAACCGGATGGATTTATTTACTGTGACAGTGTCTGTGCAGTGATTGATATAGCACAGAACTGCCACCGTATGCTCCTCCAGGTCTGAACTATCGAAAATATCCCAATTGGTTCTCTCAAAACAGTCCTGCAGCTGGTGAATAGCACCTTCAGGCCAGATTTTAACAGATTTTAATATTGTGGGAGCCCGTTTCCTGAGTGGGATATATGCTGGTACCAGGAACAGAGACATATGGTCGGACTGGCCCAAGTGTGGCAGCTGTAAGGCCCTATAGCCGTGATTTACATTCGAATAAACTTTATCCAGTGTCTTATCCCCTGAAGAGTATTGCATTGAAGAGTACTTTCTATTTGTCATCCCGTTCCATCAGTGTCAGGTATGCCCATTCTTTTTTCATGATCAGTTGATGGTATTATGTGATCGAGTGATCAGTACAATCATCATACAAATGCATGTACTAATATGGGTAACATTGTTCCTACTCTTAGATGCTGTCAAGGGAAAACATGGGAGAAATCACCAGAGTACACACTGCCATATGACTTTGTTCTACCAACATTAATTGTCACCATGTGTTTGATTTTTTTTGTGCCTGTGTGTGCTCACATATAATAGACAACCAAGCTATGATCAAATTTTTATATTTTTCTCCTTATTGATGCTCCTCAGCATATGGTACTAGGGTCTCAAAGTATTCCACTTCTGAGCGTAAGGGACAATCAAATGAACATGATATGTAGAAGGAAAACAATTTAATAACAGATTGCCAAGAATCAGATAATAATTCATGTCAGATAACAAAAGCATCCTTTAGTCAGTAGTGTGGCATTAGCCCCAATATTGTTTCAGAAGCCTGGCAGCTGTAGAAAGGTAATAAAGAGGGTGGAAAACCTAACAAAAATAGTAATTTGAAGGCTCTGCTCAGGCAAAATATGTGTATGAATTTCAAGAGAAGCTAAAAGGATTTCTGTTGTGATAGGGGGCAGGTGGGTGGTGCGTAATGTGTCTCTAAATTGCCACCAATTTTATACCTGAAATGGACCAGGGGAGACATCTGTGGAAATTTCTAGAAAGTTAACATAATATTTATAAAGTTCATGAAAATTCTGACAGGGAGCGGAAATGTTTCACACCTCCCTACCATGCAGTTCGACTATGGATAAAGTGACCCATAATTTGTTGGGAGGAGGGATTTAGAAATGGATGAATGGAGCACCATCTCTGATTTCCCCCTCACCAACACTCACAGGTTGCCTGCAGTAATGCCTCCAAGCACCTCAAAAGAGAGGCAGGCAGTGTTGGGATTCGCAGGATACTAAGTAAGTCTGCAAGCTTCAACAGGCTGATGCAATACTCTGTGAAGTGCTGGGTCAGAGTGACTCAGCAGGAATGTGATTAATGTGATTGGCTATCACCTGTTTTAAAAAGGAAAGCCTGCTCAACAGTAATTGTGGTGGTTGTGCTGTGGTGTGGTGGAGAGTATTCGTTTGCCTTAAGGAGCAGGTACTCTATATAGACTGTTTTTGTAAATACTTGTATATAAGGTAAAGGTAAAGGTACCCCTGCCCGTACGGGTCAGTCTTGACAGACTCTGGGGTTGTGCACCCATCTCACTCAAGAGGCCGGGGGCCAGCGCTGTCCGGAGACACTTCCAGGTCACGTGGCCAGCATGACGAAGCTGCTTTGGTGAGCCAGAGCTGCACACGGAAACGCCGTTTACCTTCCCGCCAGTAAGCAGTCCCTATTTATCTACTTGCACCCGGGGGTGCTTTCGAACTGCTAGGTTGGCAGGCGCTGGGACCGAACAACGGGAGCTCACCCTGCCGCGGGGATTCGAACCGCGACCTTTCGATCGGCAAGCCCTAGGCGCTGAGGTTTTTACCCACAGCGCCACCCGCGTCCCTTGTATATAGCTCACATTAAAAAGACTGCATTGGAAAAACCTGGGACTCTGAGCATTTCGCTAAAAAGCGCCGCGAGGAATTCGCGACAGGCAGAACGTTCAAATGGAAAAAGAAGATTGGGAACGAAGGGAGAACTGAGAAGGCAGACAAGTCCACAGTACCCATTACTGCCTCTTTGACACCCACAATGTTCTGGCAAAGCCAAACAGAGGCTCAGTTCATCCTGGTCAGCAACTTCTGCCTGTTACATCTTTTTAAATATTGCCTTCCCCTATAGCCTGAGCCATTGCCATCATTTTCTTTAGCTGCCACACTTAAGGTCAAGATTTCTCCCCTTCCTGCTTGTTTCCTCTGGCTGTGCCACAAGTGATTCCCCTCCCCCTTTCCTTTAATAAGGAAAATCTTAAGAAGGCATCAGGCCAAGAACTCCCACAAGACAATCAGGAATTCAGAACATTTATTGCAAGAGCTGAATAACTGTAAATAACGTTGAACTGGCAAAGCAGTAACAAGGATAACTGTTTAGATATTTATTCGGTCAAAGTCATCAAACACCCCTCACAAACTGACATAAGTACTGCAATAAGCAATGCACCCCTAACCCATTTTATGCTTGTATATTGTGGAGGAAAGAAAACGTGAACTGCTATATACAAAATAACTTCGGTTAGTTTTGGTAAGAACAAATTAACCATCAATATTAGCTACCTTTATTTTTCTGTGTGTTTATTTTAAGACTGATGTTTAACTGTGGAATAAGATAATTTTTTCTTTTGTACTTTAAGGACTCCCCCCCCACCCATGTTGCATGCTATTTGTTTAAATTGTCTGTCATGCCTTAAGAAAAAAACGCCTAAGAATGTTCAGATTAGGATTTATTAGACGTGCAACTGAGATCTTATTAACATTAGGAGTCACTTTGCTGGTTTGATTCAAGTGACACAACACTGGTACCTGCCAGGCATTGACCAACTATGGTAACAAACAGTTAAACAGCAAGAATTAGAGATTGAACCCTTTCATTTCCCCCAACTAGCCTACCAGGAGAATGCTTGGTTACATCATGAAGGCACGACACATTAAATATTTTGTGGCTATGATCTAAAAACACTTGTGTTACTACAACATCAATGCAGATGAAGATCAACACAACCGCTGCCATTTGAGCAATACAAACTGTCTTAGGTATAGACACACACAGCCCAATCGTTTTAAAAAGCAATTGTTAGATATGGATTTACTGGGTACAAAATAACTCAAGAAATGTTCCCGCACAAGCTCCATTGATATGAATGGGCACTTAGGCACCTCCCATTCAGTGCGATGGGGCTTGTATATTGGAACCACTCAGCAGCAGATTGTTCCCCTTACCCTCCACCTAATTTTGACTAGTATCACTCTCTAGCATGATTGCAGCCAATAATGTCCATTCAGCTGCTGTCATGGTTTGTGTTCTCTTTTTCTCCCCTTTGCTTTGCAAATCAGAAAAACAACAAAAATAATAATAGTGGCTAAAATCTCAAAGCCCTTACTTCAAGTGTTATTTCAGAATTGGCAATAATTTTATTGGCAATTTTTTGTCATGTAAAATAAAATATTGCCCTCCCCTCCCTCTTTTCCTCAGTTTTTAACACAAGTGTTTTGAGCTCCTTGGAACATTGTGTGTCAGACAGACTACCAACACAGAAACACCATCACCAAAAGAAACAAAATAATAATAATAAACAACAGGAAGCAAATGAAATAAAGTAGAAAAAAGCAACTGTGAAACACAGAATTATGCTACAGTATTTTTTTTTTAGGTGACCGTTATAAGTACACAAAAGTTATTAATAATAATTGATTCTATTTACAAGTACTTGAACACTGATTGACTTAACAAGTGTCCACTAACGTTGTTAATAGCACAGTAGGTTTAATGTTTGCAATTTTAGTTGTTTTGTTTCAGTAAAGATGTCAAGTATAGCAGTCCCAGCACAAAATCAATGGTAACAATAACACAATTTCCTAATTGGATATGCTTTCTAAGAATTGCAATCCACCGTCTCTCTCTCACACATTCTCTCTTTCTTTTTCGCTCTCTCCATGTGAATCTTCTACTATTTGCAGCAGCAAGTCCAGGGTCAAAAAAACAAAGGAACATAAACAAACCCCCACCCGTTATCCCAAGCAAATTGAAAAAAATTAAGATATTTTGCAAACTGGAGAGATTCTCTGTAAGAGTTTGATTATTTCTATTTAACAAAACCACACAACTAGTAGAAATGCTCTTTTGTGTTGCAGTTCCATGGAGCTACCACAAAGTTATGCATATCTCTGCTATGTGACGCATAGTTCTAGAGGTCTACTCAGTACATAAAGCTCTGACACACACACACACACACACACACACACACACACACACACACACACAGTATTAGCAAGTCTAACTAGGCTAAAGTCACTGTTCCAAAGAAGCCTTTCCTTATAGCTGGTTCTCCTTTGGACTCTCCACTGGTCCTGATGCTTGTTTATAGGATTTCAAGTTAGCCAAAGGAATGTCAGCCATGGGATTGCCAGGGTTGAAATGGCCTTCCCCCGAGCCAAACTGCTTTCGGTCACTGAACTGGTTTCTGTTGCTGTCTTCTTTCCAGGTTCTGGTCAACGTGTGGCCATTCACCAGTTTGTCTTTCTTAACCCATTCCTTCTGAGGTGCAAAGGTGGAGAGTGGAGACTTTGGCTGCTGGTACGAACCCAAAGAGGGAGGCATCCAACAGTTGTCTGAGTGACCCAGGACCAGGCATTCTTGAGTGCACATCTCAGTAGCTTCAGCTAATCCTCGAGGGCCAAGAGGTCCATCTGTGGCGAGATGTGGGCACAGGCAGCAGACAAGGGGTAGGGAGTAGAAGAAAGAGAGAAAAGGGGTGGTTAGATTTTTTTCTTTCTTTTAATAAAAAGTGTTACTTATTCATTTAAATATATACATATATTGCCTGCCTGACTAATCTATTCACCTGACTAGGACCATAGGGGTATAAGGTGGGTAATTAACACCAGCAACAACAATTCATAAGCTGTGCAAGAAACTTACAATTATAACAGCTGCACACACACAAAAAATCCATATGAAATTTTTTATACTATGCTTTGTCCAGTTCTTCAACAATAACCCATGAAGGCCCTCAAAACACCAACTAAACCATGTGAGACAAAACAGGGAGGGTGAAGTTCCTCACCCTGCTTTCCAATGCTGAAGTCTCTTGCCAGTTCCTGAGAGGGCGAGGAGCTCAATGTAGCACAGGCGTGGCAGGCGGAGCCAATCCGATCTGCCTGCCAAGGTGCCCTCACTTTCCTGGGCTCCCTGTCTATCACTTCTCCCCCTTTCGGGAACTAGCAGCAACACTCTGCATTGGCAGGTCAGGCAGTCATGACAGCAAGGGTTCCTGGCTTACCCTTAAGCTACACATTTGCGGCTTCAGAGGGAGTGTAAACACATCAAGATCAGGCAACCTGCCATCCACCCAGTTTAGGGAACCGCCCACCAACAGTGTCTCAGTCCATTTATCTGACCTACTTAATGGACAGATTTTCTGGAAGCATGAAAACAGAGAAGTCTTTTTTTATTTAAAAAATGCATTTCTTTTTATTAGTTAGAGAGGTCACTGTACAAGTCCGTTTTTGAATAATAGCTGCATATTGGTGTGAGCGTTGTTTTAGAAAGCGTGAATTGTGTAGATTTGCATGAAAATGCGAGCAGAACACAGTTTCTCCCACATCCCAACCCATCCTGAATTTCTTGCTTAGGACTGCTAGATAGAACCATATTCTGTCAAAAGGACCCACATGTCAACAATCACGTGTCAATTGGACGTGTCCAGAATGGCTGTGGCCTGTATGTTCAAAGCGCGAATCTAATGTAAGTAGATCTGACAGATAATGTGTTTCAGCTACAGACATTTTTTATTATATCAAAGCTACAAGCTCCCCCAACCTCCACACATTCTGTGCCAAGCCTACATGTGTGCAAGGGGTACACATAATAGGTACTCTACCTTTTAAAATAAATAAATAAATTCAAAGCCTCTCAAGTGGGAACATAATGTTAAAGCCTTGTTGCATTTTTTTCAAACTCAAGCAGGAAATGCCAGCCAGCCAACAAATTCACATAATGAGTTCCGACACACATTACCACCAGTGCAGACCCACGCCTTTTCTCTACATGTTTCTCAGTGGAGTCAAACTGTGGATGAGTTATTGATCTGACCAGTGTGGATATGGTGAGAAACCAAGGAATGCAAATAGGCACCATCGAAACTGACTTAGCTCTGTATTTTTCAATGTTATCAATCAACTCACTCACAAGATTCTAAATATATATGTTTCAGTTGCAAATTACCAACAGCAAAGGCAATTTCTTTAAGGCTATTCTTTCTCTTGTTCCTAAAGAAACAAAGTTGCTTTCATTACCATGTGTACAGACAGTCAATTGTTTCTTGATTAAAATCAAGTGACAGGAAGGTGATAGGAAGGAAATTACTGATTTATTTGGAGCACAAAGTTAACTGATAGTCAGGAAGGCTGTAGTCAAAAGTGCTTTAAAGGGCAGAGAAGAAAAAAACACAGAAAGCAGAGAAGAAGAAAACACAGAAAGAGGATCTGATCACTGTCACATCACCAAAAAGAGAGGGGGGAAATGATTTTATGGAATCCCAAGTATGGAAACCAGGAGGAGGGGCTGGCAGAAATTGGGCAGGGGGGAGAGTCCCTACATTCTGTAAGCTGCTACCAGTTTTATACTAGAGCAAATTTGGCCTTTTTATTGAGGGAAACAGACAAGTAATTTCAAGGGAAGCAGCAGTCGTATTTGACATAATCATACTAAGAATAGCCCCATTAAAATCAATGCACTTAAGTTAGTTAAGACAACATTGGGTCTGCTCTCAAGTATGACTTAGGTACAACTTCAAATGAGCTTCTTCACTAAAGACTGGTAAAAAGTCCCTGGGGATTTGCATACAGATGCACTCCTTGGTGATTCTGGTTTGCAGAACCTTCTGTACAGCATTACACAATGAGCATATCAACAGATGTTCAACTGAGGGTAATCCGACAGCACGAAGCATGTTTAAGGGGGGAAAAGAGTCCTGGCTTCATGTGCGGCATTTTGCGCTTCCGAGAGCAATTTGGTGCTGACCTTTAAAGTGCTAAGTAGCCTCAGCCTTGTATTCCTGAAGGAGCATTTCCACCCCCCCACCCCCCGCACCATCGTTCAGCCCAGACACTGAGGTCCAGCTCTGAAGGCCTTTTAGTGGTTCCCTCACTACGATAAGTGAGGTTACAAGGAACCAGGCAGAGGGCCTTCTCGGCAGTGGCACCCACCCTGTGGAACGCCCTCTATCAGATGTCAAGGAAATAAACAATGACGACTTTTCATCTGAAGGCAGCCCTGTCTTGGGAAGCTTTTAATGTGTGATGTTTTGTTTTAAAAGCTGCCCAGAATGGCAGAAGCAAAGTGAGGTACAAGAAATTTATTTTTTATTAAATTCACTTGTGTTAAATCCAAGGAAGACAAGTGGGTATAGCCTGAAATAAATTATTATAATTATCACTATTATTTATTAAATTTGTATACCACCCTTCATCCAAAGATCCCAGGGCAATTCACAAGACAAAAATACAAAATACATAGTAAAACAAAAACAACCCAATAACCTGCCTCCCACAAAAACAAATTAAAGGAAATGTGATTAAAAACATACAATAATTTAGGACTGGAAGTTTCACTTATTTTTTAAAAGAAGGTCTAAAATCCTGAGCTTTACATTTGAATCCCTGAATTTTAATGGAAGAAAAAAAATTCTTTATGTTATAACTCCTTCCTGGCCTTTCCTTATGTCTTTGAGTCCTCTCTGCTATAATCTGACACAGGTATTTCACGGAGGGAGGGGGAAGCAGCTAGTAAAAGGGAGTATTTCCAGCATATTGTTAACATTTCGAAAGGTTAATCTATAGGTTAAACGCTGATTATTTTCTTTTCTGCTGACAACAGCAATTTGCTTTTAATTAGGTTTTCTCATTTTTTTCTGCCTGAACAATAATACAATCCTATCTTGCTGACCCAAAAGGGAATAGTTTGGCAGGGATTAAATCTTTCAATGCACAATAAAGAGGGAAGAAGAGGAGGAGGAAGAAGAAGAAAGCCCATCGCCCTCATTCATGATAAACTGACACATTTCGTGAAATAGACACGGCTCCATTTCGAAGCTTTCAGTGGAATGAATGGAAAGCCTCAGCACCAAACTTGCATGTTTCATGACCTCATCCAGAAGCTAAACAAACTAAACTCAAGTTCAAACACAACTAACATCTATTTTCGTTTGGGCTTTAAATGAGCAATAAGCCGTTTTTAAGTCAGAATGAAAATATGCTTGTGGCCCTTTAAGCCATGTCAAATTAGTCTCTTGAGAGATTTATTTCTCATTTAGTTTGCTTTCCTCAGTAACAGCTCCCGAGATCTAAGGCACTTAATTTTGGTGTAGGGTTTATGCAAGCTTTGCTAGCTGATAAGTTGGTAAAGTTTATATGGGGCTTTGGAACTGTTTGTCAGAAGAGCGATTTAAATGCATGTTCTTGGTGATGAAATGCATTATCTGCACATATTCTCAGGGATGTGCCTGGAGCAACCCATTTTAAGTAGACGTATATTTTTCTTCACTCCCTGTTCCCCCGTCAATTATAATACTGGGGACATCCAGCCAATATCAGAAACATTTCTTTTGCTAACACTGCATCAGTGTTAACCCTGGTTAGTGCTAACTGTGCATTGCCTGAGCTCAGGCAACAGAAATGTTTCACAGCAGCAACCCTCTCTAGTGGCAGATGGGGAATTTTCAGTTCAGGGGAAACCTTCAAAATATTGTGTGTGCATTGTCTCTGGAATGGGGTGGGTGGGTGGAAATATAGTAATATTTTAGTTGAAAATTGAAGCACTTGGTATAATAAGGGGGTATAATTGCTTATATGAGTCCCATTAGAAAGTAAAGCACCATTCTCCAGCCTAAGGTTCCCACTTGCATTTCCTCCTTTTGGAGGTGACACATATCACAAAGACATATCCTCCAACATTTCTCCAATTAAAATAGGGATATCCCATTCCATAATGATAATTTTACTATTTATACCCCATACTTACTGGGTTGCCCCAGCCACTCTGGGCAGCTTCCAACATCTATAAAAACATAATAAAACATTTAACATTTAAAAAAACAAACCCTTCCTTAGACAGCTTGGGAGGCGGATAACTCCATACCCTCCAACATTTCTCCAATGAAAATAGGGGCATCCTAAAGGAAAGTGGGACATTCCGGGATCAAATCAGAAACCGGGACGATTTCTCTAAATCAGGGATGTCCCTGGAAAACAGGGACACTTTGAGGGTCTCACACAGGTTTGCATAAGATAATTTCTATCTATAGATGCATACTGAGAAACAATGACTGTAATTTCAAAAGAAATTAGTACTGGAAAGACTGGCCTGTGTACTTGCTTGATCTACTGTCCAGATGCTGAATTTCACAGAATAATAGAATCACAGAATTGTAGAGTTGGAAGGGCCATTGAGTCTCACAACCTGTGATACAGGAATCCTGCCCACAACCTTCCCTGGGGGGCGGGGGGGCTTGAATTACCAACATTCTGGTTAATAGCCAGACACACTGACCCATTGCACAATTTCCAGGTCCCTCTTCAGCCTTAAACCTGACTGGACTCAGCAACTGTTTCAAATCAAGGACACCATCAAATAGAGGACTGATGTCTGAAAAGTAGGGCACATGGCTCCCTATCCACCCCATGCCCTG